GCGACATGATGAGAGAGGAGATTTATTATGAAAGAGTGCAGGGACTGAGAAACACATAGGCATGAACGAGTGGGAGAAGAAGAATGAGAAGAGAAAAAACAACCCCAAAAGAGGGTGAAAAAGTTAAAAGGAGATGGAGGAGAGGGTAAATAACAGTGAGTGCAGGTGAGCATTCATCACACTCTATTAGCTTAAGCAGTAACAACAAGTTTGCAGTAGGGGGCAACAGGTCTGCAATATGCTTACTCATAGTAATGCCAGCGCTCTTGTTTCCTGCACCAGCCTCTAATGACTGATTTAGGAACAGCTTGCGGCACATCTGCCTCCAAGTATAAACTTGAGTAACTGGAATATACTGTTCCCAGAGTAGATGGCCATATGTGCGATGGTCAGTGACAAAATATCACTATAAATTCAGTGTACCCGTGCCTCTAAAACGTGTGCCGTTGATTGGACTGCAGACCATGCGGGAATATATCGAGGTCAAAGAATCAAAGCGATTTCATTATTTAGTCAACTCAAAAGTGGACTTTAGATGAATTATATTAATACTAGATTCTATATCATCCAACTGACTAACCGCTATGATCAATTTAACTTCACTAAAATGACCACAACTCAAATATCAAACGTGGGTGCTTCAGAGGTCAGAAAGCTTGGTCAATAACATGATCATAAACCACAAGAGACTTCATCATTTTTTCTTAAAGAAATGCAGTCCATTTGTTCAAAGAGTCTGTCATCAATTACCCTAATGTCTTTCTAAACCAGTATTTCCTTACTTCCTTACCACAAAACATTTTTATTTCCAGGAGAACTGCTTAATCATCCCATCAAAACGTTCTTTAAAGGGATAGTTCACTTTGAAATTAATTTCTGATATGTTTTAGCTTACCTCAAGGGCATCCAAGATGTAGGTGTCTTTGTTTCCACAGTATTTTAAGTATTTTAAATTTTGATATTTTTAGGTCAAACCGTTCTTGTCTGTCAGTCATATAATGGAGGTATATGGGGTCCACCTCAAAGTGCATGCACAGAGAAGTCCAAATTAAACATGATTTAATGACTCGTAAATGTAAGTACACATTGATGGCCTAAGACACGAAACGAGCGGTTTGTGTGAGAAAACGCTTGTAATTACACTCATGTCCAAGTACTTTGAGGGTGAGGGCGCTTCTATCTGCGCAAGGAAAAGCCCCGGAAGTGATCTCTCGCGTTTGTACGTCACTCATTGTTTCAGAGATTTCAGAAGTGTTACCCTTCACTGTGAAGATCTAAACATATTTATATATACAGGAAATTGCAATGGAAGACGATTTCGATATATCAACAGAAAACGTTGATTTTTTTTCCGGCGCTTGCGCAGTCTCCATGCCTTCAGATCACTTGGACATGGCTGTGGTTACAAGAGGTAAAAACGATATAAATACTGTTAGTTTTCTCACAAAAAAACGCTCGTTTCGTGTCTTAGGCCATCAATGTGTACTTACATTTACGAGTCATTAAATCATGTTTAATTTGGATGTGCATGTGCATGCTCTTTGAGGCGAACCCAGGGGTGGACCCCATATACCTCCATTATATGACTGACAGACAAGAACGGTTTGACCTAAAAATATCAAAATTGAAAATACTGTGGAAACAAAGACACCTACATCTTGGATGTCCTTGAGGTAAGCTAAAACATATCAAAAATTAATTTCAAAGTGAACTATCCCTTTAACAAGACAAGTTAGTGCAGTCCAAGTAGGGATGTCAATGTGATGGGATGCCGTGCCCTGATCATTTTGCGGGATACCTAGTCAGAGCCCTTCAGTCTGCACATCTCATACCAGCGTGTGGTTAGTTTTAGTCTATTGCACTATTATGTAGCTTGTTGGTTTGTGTAACACGCAGATAAATGAATATGCGTGTCACATTGATCACAGGCCTGTCGGCTGCTGATGAGAAATGTTTAAGATAATACATTACACAAATACAACTCACTGCTCTTGATTGATACATTTGTATTTTTTATTTAATCAAATGGCAGTACATTATCTTCATCAACAATGAAGACAATGAGAAACTTAAGTGGTTTTATTTTACATTTGACAGCATTTCTGAATATTTGTCTCAGCTGTTAGACATGCGATTGCCTGGAAAGACATTTTGGTAACAATAAGGTTCATTAGTTAACATGAACTCAGAATGAACGATACTTCTACAGCATGTATTAATCTTAATTAATTTCGACATTTACTAATACATTATTAAAATCAAAGGTTGTATTTGTTGATATTAATGCACTGTGAACAAGAACAGCTTTATATTTATTAACTAAAAATAACAAAGATTAATAAGCACTATAATAAATGTATTTCTCATTGTTAGTTAATACATTAACTATTAACTAATGAACCTTATTGTTAAGTGTTACCAACATTTTATAGGCCTATTATATTGCCGGTATGCCCATTTAGAAAAAATAAAAATAAAAAAATCGTATAATTGTATTCATTTCTTGTTATTTTATTATTTTGTCTTGCATAATGGCAAGTTATTAATTGCTAAATGCCACTGTTTTGATATAACATTTATAAATCAACTTTGCATATAAATTTATATAAAATAAGTAAAAGCAAAAACCTGTATTTGCATTTATTTTAGGGCTGTGCAAAAGTTAATTGCGATTAATCGCATCCAAAATAAAAGTCTGTGTTTACATAATATATTTGTGTGTGCTGTATATAATTATTTTGTATATATAAATACCTATGCATGCATGTATATATTTAAGAATTATTTGCGCTTAAATTCTGTATATATTTATAAATACATAATCTATATTATATAAATATAAATATTTTATATATGAATAACACATTTTCTTAAATATATACATGCATGTGTGTGTATTTATATATACAAAATAATTATATACAGCACACACAAATATATTATGTAAACACAGACTTTTATTTTGGATGTGATTAATCGCAATGAATTTTTGCACGGCCCTAATTTATTTATTTGTCTGTTTTGTTATTTTGTAAGAAATCCTTATTAGGTGCATGGCACCATATGTGAGCCTGCATGGCCATATATTATAGGCCTACCGTTATAGTACATGATTGTGACAATTACTTTTATGACAATCTCCCCCCCCCCCCCAATAAAAATCTCGCTCATTACAATAATGAAACAAATAATGGTATATGATTTAAATGGTGAGTCATTTAATAGAAACCTAATGAGAATCACGTTTGAAAATAATGAGAGTATAAACCGGAAAGTAAAATATCCTGATATTTTGCCATAATGAAACGTGGAAGGAAAATATGCTTATTTGTCATGGAAATAATGTCGCAGTGTCACAATATTAATGGTCCTAAAAATAGGCAATAGGCAAAGTATAACTTTAATTTTAGAACTGAAATATGACATGGACATATACTTTGGAATGGAAACCCATCCATCCGTTTTAGAAAATTAATTAAAGAACAAAACATTTTCTCTGTGACTCCACTACTTCATTCAAGAGTTCATTCAAATGCAAGTTGCATTGATTTCAAAATAAGGAAGAAAATAATTCAATAAAAGAGATATTATGGTTTGGGGTGAGCCTGATCTATGGATGTGATTCCGTGCTCAGCACGAATGAATAGTAAAGTGTACGGATTGTCCATTAGCTCCCCTTAAGGAATATATGTTACAATATTTTGCGGTAAAGAAGCAAATCCTCATTCAGACTAAAATGTTCCCATCAAAACGTGGACATCTAATATGCAGATGTCACATTAAACTAAATCTGATGGTTGATAACCTGTAGCTTTAAATAGTAGAGCGTTGGTGCTTAAAACATTAAGGTCATGGGTTCGATTCCCAGGGAAAGCAAGGACTGATAAGAATGAAAATGTGTACTTTGAAATGCAATGTAAGTCGCTTTAGATAGAAGCATCTGCCAAATACCTAAATGTAAATAACCGTGCTGGTAAAGTGGGCTTGAGAGGATGCTCAAAATGGAAATGAACTGGCCAGGTCAGCTAACCTAAACTGATGGCATGTTTAAGTGATTGACTTTTGAAGGTGCTTAAAAGATTTATGATTCCCACAGTTCATGCCTGAGTGACACAAACACTTCCAAAAGAGCTCCCCCAACATAAAAGACAAGTCAATGGTGCTGTTTGAGGGCTTTTTATTAAATTTTTTTTTTTTTTTGGAGTGATTTGTGAGAAGTATGACTGACAGGCAGCAAATCCCTGCAGTATGGGCTGTCAAACACAAATCAAATGCAGGTTAAGGGCTTGTGTGTGTGACTGAACACATGTGGCCTCAATGGGGTTATGGGAAGAGAGACCCAGGTAACAGACAAGACAGGGTTTTGATTCAGTCATCACAGTCACAGTAGTCTTTGAATTTTTCACAGCAAGAGATGAAACAGGAACTCGTTAGATTATTTTTTGTTTTGCTTTGCCGCTCATGATGTACCCGGTTTAGGGCCATTTCCTCTAACAGTGCAAAGTCAATGTATTGTTCATGCATAATTAACACCAGTTATGCACAGCTTGAAATAAAGAGTTTCGGTTTGTGTTAGGATACTGTGGGGAGATATATTACAACTGAAATGTAATACATATTTATCAAATGAAAGCTTTAACAATTTTAAATGGAACGTCCTGGAATGCATTATGGTCAGTATTCTTTTAAATGCAGCTGGATCATGTTCAGATCATGGCTTAAAAAATAAAAGACTTGTTTGTGATTATCTAAAGACCTCATTCAAAGCGGTCAAAGTGGTCAAGCGAATAACTAGACGCGGTAGGCGCAAATTTGACGTGCTATTCGCGTCCGGTGTGAACGTAGCATTAGAGACGTTTTTCAAAAACATATAAAAAACGGTACTAACCCTACATTTTTTACCTGTGTATATTTTTTTCTTACTTCTTGTTTTTGTACATGGATGTACATCAAACAAAGCCATGAACCTACTGTATCAGCAATCAAGTAGATTTTCTTACCTGATCCTATCTGGGATCCTCTGGGTTTGATTTCCATCCATCATGCAGTTCCCAGCAAAGCTCGTCCCTCGAGTCCCAGCGTACTCCCTACGCAAAGCCATAGCACCGTGCGTCAGTACCGACACACCCTTTGCAATTCTCCGTCGTGGCTCGTCCCTCCATCCCTGTGGCCTCACAGCAAACACAGCCTTGGGTAGACCCTCAAGGCCAAGTCCTGCCAGACCAGGGCCCACCGCAAACCACATATGTGAGGGAGTAGCCTGTCCTGATGCCCATGCAGCCTTAAAAATGTGTCCTGCCTCCTCCTGTGAGCAATACAGGAGTCGTACCTGTAAAGAGTGGTAGAGCGAGAATAGAATAAGTATTCGGAATAAAATCAAAATGCATTTACTTAAAGGGATACTCCAATTTTTTTAGGGAAATAGGCCCATTTTACAACTCCCCCAGAGTTAAACAGTTGAGTTTTACCGTTTTTGAATCCATTCAGCCGATTTTCTGATATTTAGAAGACTATTTTACTGATAGTCTTCTAAATATCAGAAAATCGGCTGAATACGTCAGAAAACGGTAAAACCCAACTGTTTAACTCTGGGGGAGTGTTAAAATAAGTTTATTTCCAAAAAAAGTAGAGTATCCCTTTAAAGTTCCCCCAAAAATGAAAATTTTGTCATTTTACTCACCCTCATGTTGTTCCAAACCTTTATGGGTTTCTTTCTTCTGCTGAACACAAAAGTAGACATTTTGAAGAATGTTGATAACCAGACAGATGATGGTAGCAATTGACTTTTTTTTCAAGTCAATTGCTAACGTCAAATGTTTGAATACCAACATCCTTTAAAATATCTTCTGTTCAACAGAAGAAAGAAACTCATAAAGGTTTGCGACAACTTGAGAGTAAGTGATGAACAATCCCTTTAACGCTCATTCCTTGTTTTATTGCACAACAATCATTGATGTAAATAATTGCACAAAAAAAACTTGATCTACCTAAAAAAAAAATCTCATTCAATACTCGGATTTATTCTGAAACGTCACATTATGGAAGAAAAAAAGTTTGGAGTGAATAAAAACATCATTGGACCAGCTAAGGATACCAAAGAACATGAATATCATTGGAACATGAATATCATGTAAATTAAGAGTCTCCAGTGGAAAAAAATAACATATTACAGCCATCAAGCTCAATAAGCTCTTTCTGGCTGTCTATGATTTCAGAAAATTTCGGAACAATGTGATCCGGTCAGCTTGTTATCAAGCATGTGTTCTACAATATCTTTAGCACGACCAAAGGTGTTTTTAGAAACCTCAAACCTGGAAAGTGATGTACGAGGGCTTTGTCCACACACATTTAAAAAAAGGTCAGAGATGTCAGACATCTTAAAATTACTGTGATACGGGTCATGTTTTTTTTTTTTGTTTTTTTTTTGCTGGAGATGTATTGCTTATCCCACTTGTCGACATGTAGCCACAGGCTTCTAACAGGGAGATAAAACTACTCTTGAGTGTTGACTGATGACCTGCAATCCTCCAAAAATGTAAACAGTATAACAATTGTAGCAAAAGTAGTAGTGTGGAATAAATAGACATTCCAGCAGGGGCAAGACTAGGCTGTGGATATTGGACTACACCATTTTATTTTAATGGCTGTGAGTCTTATTTTCTGCTTTTTGGTTATAAAGATTTGGTAATCAAAATAAACTTGCAGTTGATGACAATTCTGTCACGGGGTGCTGGTTCCATTCATTCTGCACATTTTAAACTCAGAGACCCAAGCATTGACATTCATGATGCGATGATGTTTTTTCGACATTCACTATGTCTTTAGACAGGGCTCGACATTAAGCCTTGTTATGTGGTTGTCCAAGTTAAAAAAAAATCCTGTCTGAAAAGAATGGTGTAAATGTCATTCTGAAACAATATTCTCATCAGTGTTCTATCAGTGCTTACTTTCTTAAATCAGCAGATTTGTTTTGTGATATTAGTCCTCTTGATTTCCAGGGAATTTTGTACCTCTAAAAAAAAGCATTTTCTTAATATTTGAAATATGTTGAAACATCTTGTGTGTCAAATTCTTACATTTTATCAATCTATTTAATTATGAAAATAAGACACTGAAGGGCTGTTATCATCTTTTCACTGCAGAGGAAAGCTGAATTTAAAGTGCTATAGACCATTTCACAAGATGTAAACAACACTGGTCCAGAAGCACTTCCTGTTTTAGTTTTTTAACACTACATAAAAGCTGGGATAAAATACAACCAACAGAACATTTAAAACTGAATCAAAAAGTTAAACAAACATCTTTAAGATGTTTTCTTTACATGTGAAATAAAGAAAACAGCTACAAACTGAAACAGGAAGTGATTCTGGACCAGTGTTGTTTACATCTTGTGAAATGGTCTATTTAGATGTATGTACACAGACTGTTTAATGAAGCTTAGAGGTGGCATGGATGGATTTCAACAACAAAAATAATGATAATGATGATTCGTGCTAAAAATAACATTTTCTAAATGTCCAAATATAAAAATATTAGAATAAGAACTAAACCACCAACCAAGTGACTGTCTGTCTTTATGTTCAGTGACCCATACTGAATCACAGACTCACCCGATTCATTCAAAAATGAATCACTGCAGTGTGTTGTTTTGACACGACACAACAGTTCTGCTTTGGCGTTGTTTGGAACTACATTGCTGGACAAAACAAAAACAAATTATATAGCTCCGATAACCTGACCCTTATATAAAGATGCCCGTATCTGCTCTACTACAACTCTTCCTCTTCTCATTGAATTGAATTTATGTCAATTTTAGAGTTAGTGATGTAAGTAACCCAGGAGGAATGTCATGTAGTCTCTACCAGTCGTTTGCTGTAGTCCTTAAAAAACGATTTCTTTAAAAGGAAATATCTTTCTTTGCTTTAAACTTTGAGCATTTTAACTTTGCAGATGCTGTTTATGCTCAAACAGCAACTAAAGTTAGAAAAGTAAAATCATAACCAACCACCCTTTAATGTCAATTCATTATCCACTATCTATCGCCATTTAGATTGAATGTAATAAAATCTGAATCCTTTTTGCACCCACATTTTTGGTGGGTGAATTTTCAGTGCTTCCCTAGTGATGTTTTATTAACGACGTTTTAATCAGGCTACTTGTACTTGCCCCTTCAAAAAAAGCATTAATGTCAAGCACTGCTCTAGGAAGCCATTAGTTTTTTTTTTTTCATTTTTTTTTTTTTTTAAAAAGATACATTTTCACCAGGGAATAATTTGGAAAAGCATTGCAAAATTGGAACACTGGGCATTTAAGGCCAAGGTATACTTCTTGTGAAATCGAAGAACGAACTGATGCGACATCATTTTAAACAAAATCAGGACAAAATTAAGTACGTTTGGAGTTCATATCTGGTGTTCGAAACAGCAAAACTGTTAATTGGTTAACAGAAAGTTTTCGTACTTTATACGGTAAATAACTGTGATATAATTTTACAGTAAAATACCGTTAAATTTACAGTTTTTGAAAGTGAAAAAGAACAAATCGTTGTATAATTTACAGTGAAAAACCGTAAATTGACATTCCCACAATTCCCTGTGTGACTTCATATTGCATACAGCAAACTTTCTGGAAACCTTTGCTCAAAAATGATGTAAGTTTGGAGTTTGTTTCAGAAGTTCGAAACAGCTTGCCAAAGCAAACTTTCTGGAAAAGTCTGCTTCGGCTGGTAAATGCCTTCGCACTTTTATTTGTCCTTGGCGATGATGTAATAGGCTTCGCCACCTTTGACATGGAGATCTTCTCCGGTTCATTTCCTCTGTTCAGTTTGATGATGTCGGACATCCGTAAGTAAAAACAAGAACACAATGAAGATACACTTTGGTGGAAAATGTAGTAGTAATTTTAATCGAAAGGGAAACTGTCATTGTTTTATTATTATTATTTAATTATGTAAAGCTGCTTGATTTAAATTTCTATAAATAAAGTGACATGACTTATCAGGAGAGGTAAACTGCAGAGCTCATGCAATCATATCGTGCAGTATAATCAGATGCTTCTCACCAGCGAAATATCCAGTGTTGTTTAGAGTTATTTTATGGCATTAATTTACCAGAGTTAAAAAGTGTTGATGTAAATAACATCAACACTTTCAGTGTGAATCAGTGGTCAAAGTTAGTGTAATTACAGAGAGTTTACATAATTGAGACAGTGGATCATTTCTGGTCCTTGCAAATTATTTCCTCTTTGATTAATGGTGGACGACAATGAGAGTACAGATATAATTCCAACACACATACATATATATATATATATATTTTTTTTTTAACTGATTATTTTAAATGTTATTAAGTAATTTGTGCTGGTATATTTTGGTAATAAAATGCATTTTACTGTAAGTCTCCAATTTAGTATAGCTGTGCATTACTTTATGTACCACATATAATGGTGAGAACCAGTAATGTGCAAATCGTGTTTGTTTGTTTTTTAACATGCACATGCACACTCAGCCTTGGCAGAGCAGAAAAATGATATCTTGCAAAAAGCGTTTTGTTGAACTTTGTATTTTCTGTCTGCGTATGAAAAGAACCGTTTATTTTCACTCATGTCTGACGTGCACGGTTCATCTGCAATTATTTGCAAGTAAATGCTAATTAACTTGCAATTTCACTTTAATGTAACATTTGTGAGATGACAAATGGATCTTTTGACTGCAACGGCTCGCTGGACTTCATTTATCATTTTTTTGAACAACAGCTTTCATCTTGCTGATGAAAGTTCAATATTGTGTGTGAAAATTGTGAAAGTATGAAACTGCTTAACGATTGAACATTCTAAGATTTTCTCAATGTAGGCAAGTTAATGTGCTACAGCTTAGAAATGTGCTAATTAAAGCAACCATGCTTAAAGCATAGGCTGAAATTAGAAAGTCCGCAGGGCTTGTTTTCAGGTTTCAAAGCTTTGCTGTCAATTAGGTTTTACTTAAATATGAAAAAAACAAAAAAAACATTCAGTTACTAACGTAACCTCGGTTCTCTGCAACACGCTCTGGTTCGCTTTGGCTGTGAAAAACCAGATTAAATCAGCCGATCAAGCTATATTTATAGGGCAAGGCCACGCCCGCTTAAGACGGGAGTGTGACACAGTGGACGTGAAGTGCCCCCATTGGGCCGTCACCAAAAGGCTTCTCTCAATAGGCTACTGCAGTTGGCGCAGGACAGCCAACGTTTTACATTAATTCACAATTAAGGATAATTTTTGGCTTCGCAATGTCGTGGAAAAGAGGTTTTCCCCTAGTGTAAGATATTATGCAGAACACCTCGTGAGATAACC